TTTCAATGAAAATGGCAGCAATGTTTTTTTTTAAGGGAAAGATGGTAATGCAGGAAAACGTTTACAAGACGAAAATATGAAATACATTTGAAAACCTCCGTCACTGCAAGGTTGCCAGGTTTCGGTTTCTCGGTTGGTCCCTGGAGTAGACATCCTACGGTTTAGTTGGTCGATTTAAGATGTAATCATTGGAAAAATCGGTAATTAAAGAGATGTCAAATTTAATAATTTCATCGCTCACCGTAAAGTCTCTGTGGCTCAAAGGTAGGGCATCGGAGCGCGAAATCCGAAGGTCTGAGGTTCGCTTCATCATGGGGACTCAGAATTTCTTTTTTGTCCCCCGCTCGTGACAAGACGAAAAACATCTTTCTCCATGGAATTATCGTTATTACGAAGCTATTTTTCATCAATTCACATCTTATTTGCACTATTGTGCAATGCTAATATCCTCGAAATAGGACTCTGCTGTAATGCAGAGTGCCGGTGCATTAAAGGGTAAATCTAGACACGTTTTCTCTACATTCTCTCTTTCCTTTCCTCAAATTTTCATTTCTTGGTATAGATGACAAGGATAGAACACATGAGATGATGAAGTAAAACATTCCTGTTTTGTCGTCAATCTCTGAACTATATTTCTTGCGAACCATTGAGCAGGTGGAGTGTGTGACAAAAATGTTAAAGAGTGGTGTATGCTTGCAGCCTTAAATGCTGCTTAATTAAAGAAAGTCTATTGACCTAATTAGCTTAAAGGCAAACTTACAAATGGAGCTGGATAGTTTTTACATAAAACTTCTATATAAACACAAATTTCTCAAAACTCTCTCCGCCCGACTAAAGGAAGCAACTGAAAAGTCCAAAACAACCATCAAGACGAAACTTAATGGAAACGAGGTTTTGGGTTCTCGCTTGCTTCCTTTCCATCCTCACGATGGCTTGAAATGGATTTGTCATCCTCCTCGTCCGCAGAAACGTCAGCTTCGTACCAAGACCAACAAATTAATTGTATCTTCAGCAGTGGCCGATTTTTGTGTTGGGATGATAGTTGTCTCTTCCCGTTTTCTCTGCAGCATGGAAAATAAATACATTACTGGTTAAAAAGGAATCTTCATTGGGATTTTTAGAGTATTTTTAGTGTACGCATGTGGGTCAAACTTAGTTTAGCACTTGAACCCTATATCGCCGTGGCGAAACCGTTGAAATACTTGAGTTTTATGATGAGTCGCCGAGTCATTCAAATGGTTCTTGCATCTTGGGCAATTCCTTTTCTTTTCATCCTGACCATAGCTTCGACCTGATTCAATTTAATCTTTCGTGTTAGTGGCTTTGTGTATTTGCTTTTCGAGGTAATTTTGTGCGTAATTTTAATGTTTTGCCTCGCATCCATATTACTTGCTGTTTACAAGAACTCTGGAAAACGCCGTTTAGCAAAGCAATCGCAGTTTAATCAACGCATCGTCAAAAACAAGACTCACAACAGGTCAGCAGTCACATGGGTGGCATTGGTAACGAGTGTGTTTCTTTTGTGTTACGGATTACTGATACGTTGTAGTATAGTAGTTTTAACTGGTCATCCTTGTAACGATTTTCACTATAAAGTACCTCTACAAGTTGTAAACTCTGAAATAAACCCTATAGCTTATGCTTTCTTCAAAAGGGACATAAAGCAATAATGTAAAAGGCTTTTTTTCAAAAGGCGTTGTTTAATTACTGCAGAGTAGTACATGATTAATAAAAACTTCAGTTGATGCATATACTTTTTTCGTCGATACTTCTTTTGGATCGCTAGGACGTCCGGTTGTGGATCGACCACGATTCTCTAATTCTCATCTTCATTGAAATTTAGTTCAAAAGCTTCTTGTGAAAGAAATAATTCAACTGTGTAAGAAATGGAATGTTGATATTACATTTATTCTAAGATTTAAGACCAGCTATCGAATATATCGAGGCTTAACTTTGTAAATAAATTTGACTAAGGGGTATGTTTTTAAAAAAACATCGAAGCTGGCTTGTATTTCGGTCTAAGAAACATCCGGTTCTTAAAAATATGAACTTTTTTTTGGATATCTCAATACAAGTGTAAAAACATCTCATTTGTACCTCCTCAATAAATGGAATAACTGATTGCCTGGTCCACGCATTAATAAGAGATATATTTTCTGAATTTCTTCTACAACAGTTGCCTGTCTACTTGTTCCAAGAGCTGTCATCTACGGGGAAGTTACAATGGATTGATAAGTCTGTCAATGTCGGAATTCAACTCTTTGATATCAAAGCGTTTTCTCTATTTCATTTGCAAAAATTTCGTTTAGTTGAGTTAGATGACCATGATTGAAGCTGAATTGTATTTCAGTCATAGAAACATCCGATTGCTAAAACTGCGAAAACACTTTGTTTACTATCATCAGAAAGTAACTGAAATATCATATTCCACCTCAATTTGCTCGAAGAGATCGCCTGTTCCACTGTCTGGTCCTTTCAAAATTTCGGAACATTATTTTCTTAGGTTGTTCAACAAACTGCAGGACTTTGAAACGATGAAAGCTAGGAAGTAAGAGCTTTTCCGACTTTTCGTGCAAAATAGTCGATTTTGTTGACATGTCTTAATGCTATATTTGATTGATAAGTCCATCAATGCCGAATTGAGACCTTCTGTCATCAGCACGTTCTCCCTATCCATTGCGTAATGTGACAACATGGGTGTTTTCATTCAAGCCGTTTTCATTCCAAGGAAACTCCTCATGGGAATACTTGTCAAAAAAAAGAAAGAAAAAAAAAAGCCCTCACTAGGCTAGTAGTGAATAACTTGACAAAAGTAAAAGTCGTGCAGTGTGTATACGTATAGGTAATCATATGATTTCTGGTGCAATTTGGAATAAATGAGCACGAGTAAATTTTTTCAAAGACCAACAAAATTTCATGAGCCCGTCGGGCGAGTGCAATTTGTGGTCTTAGAAAAAATTAACAAGTGCTTATTTACTCCAAATTGCACAAGAAAAATCATGTGATTACGTATTGGTAATATACATGAAAAAATTGGTAATATACATGAAAAAATACGATCTTAATTATGCAGAAGCAAAGTGCGTGCATCAAGTACAAAAGTAATTTATTCAAACCCTGCAAATGACTTTGTGCGTTCGGTCAAGAAAAAACAAGAACCCTAAGATCAAAACAATATACAATGATATTTTCACATATTAAACGCGCAAAAAATTTCAAAGTCCGACTAAACAGTTCAAGGAATTGTTCATTCTGTGTCCGAATCACTTTCGATGAAACGGAATCTTCGTCTCCGAGGTTTAACCATGTTTGTTTTTAGTTTTCGGCGCGACTCATAATTTTCGATTTCCTTGGAAATTGCCTTGTCTGAACACAACTTTTTCCAAACCGACAACCAAAAAGCATTGCTTTTTACAATGTTTTCTTTGTTAAAGCTGTTTTTCACTTGTTTTCTTGTTACGGTGGCGAAAGAAAACCTAGTTAAAATGCCGGCCATTGTTTTACTCGCAAATTTTCAGCGTATCCAAATGTTGCGACATCTGAGGCTCGCACTTGATTGACTATCTGTGAGTTTCTTTGTTTATTGACCAATCAGAATTTCTGGTTTGTTATACTTCTTCGCACTGAAATAACCCTCTTCTGTACTGAATTACCTGAAAACTGCATTTATCTTTATCAATCAGAACTGAGTAATTTTTTCATGTATATTATTAAATTAGTTAATGAGATAATTTTGAGTGCAATTTGGTGTTAATAAGCTCGAGAAAAATTTTCAAGGACAACAAAATTGCACTAGGCCGTAGGGCGTGCACAAGTGCAGTCTGTAATCTTTGATGGCAACATGTTCCCCCTATCCATTGGGTAATTAATTTTTTTGGTAGTGTAGGTGACAATAATGTAAGATGGCCGAGCAGTTTTCATTCCATGGAAATTCTTCATGGAAATACTTGTCCAAAAAGATACTCACTAGACTTGCTGCGGATAAGTTGACAAAAATAAAAGTAGCGCAATGTGTTTAGGTAATATCATAATTTCAAGTGTAGTCTGGTGCTAATAAGCTCAAGAGAATTTTCGTGTTTCAACTTTGCACTCGTGTTACATAAGAATGCACTCGATTTCAGCCAATCAGAGGCGCATAATTTTTTCATATTCATTATTAATTGGAATAAAGTCGAGGAAACTGTGAAAGGCGAGCGCTTTCAGAAAATTTTACACCGTTAATTTTTGTTGAGTAGTCTTTGTACTCTGTTAGTGTGAGTACAAACGATTTTTCCATGAAAAATGGTGCAATTTTTGAGGAAAAAAGGATAATAATCACTATTATTAAATTTTAATAATTTTAAAAAATCAAAAACCGTGGGCACGGAGCCGTACGGGTCTTATGATAAACATTTGTTTTGAGGACTATTGCCCTCCAAAAGAATCACTACCTTAAGTATGCTGCGCTGCAAATTATTTACAATTTAGATGCATTTTTTTGTTGATTACATTGCTATGCAAGGCTTCCCTTAATAGCTGTAATTTTCTCCAACTTTAACCGGTGCTATTTCGTATTAGGTAACCTTCTCTTGTCATGTTTAACAATTACAGTTCCCTTATACATGTTTCCGTTGTAATCCTTGTGATATCACGTGATCGGTGAACTATAGCTCCACGATTGGTTCTAAAAATCTCAGCGGAAGAAAAAAAAATTGCCTTTCTGTTAGGCTAAGATGTCAAAAATACGATGACAATGATATAATGACAAACAATAACAATGTTCTCGTGCCTTCGTGGTTCCTCGTCACTATTACTAGAGCAGTTTTGTCTTTTTACGGGCCTAATAAACCATGCTTATGGCTCAGCTATTGAAATTGATGTTGCATCGAACATAAAAACAGTGATGCCGCTTACAAGCTGTTGTTCTGTGGCTATAGGTCCCCTCAACTATATCGCACAATAGCGAAATAATCCAGCAGGTGATGGATTTAAGTAGTAAACATAAAACCCATCGCATCTCCTCACATGAAATTTAACTTTTCTGTAGCAGCAATTAGATAACCATGGAAACATGCCTCCCTGTCGACAATGCCATCCTCGATGAGTGGGTGCAGCCCGTTTAAGAAACCTGTGACGACTGTTAGACATTTGCGGGGACTGACACATTGGTCCAGCATTTTAGTGTATGAACTGGATTGAAATCTGTACCAGCCAGACACAAGGGACCTGTCCGAGTTCTTTCCTCTTCCAAACGATGTGTGGCGACCGGGCTCGCTCAGTACACTGTAATTCATACATTCTCCTGGCGCTGAAAATAAGTGTGCAAATTTTAGTCAAAGTTAAGAAACTTACAAGTGACGTCCTGAAGAGCGAATGTCTAGGCCATTTTACTCTGATAAAGATTGTCAGTTTTTTGTCATACTTTGTCATTTTCAGAAAAAAAAAATGTTTTATTACATCCATTTTGAAATCATTATTGATCCTTGCAATCTGACTAGCTCTCAGCACTATAATTTGTTTTCGAATCACACTATCTTTTGCTCAGTCAGAGTTTTGTCAAGCTTTGTCCATTTGACAAAATAGGAAATGGACAGCTCCTAAAAAGCATCCTACTATAATTCATTGGCACATTTGATCACTGAACTTTATTTCACGTACCTTCGATGGGATGTGAGTTGGTTTCCACAATAGGAAATATGACCAGTCAGAAAAATCAAAGATCTGTCCTAAAGATCACTTGTGGTTATCATTATCATGGAACAAAAAAATGTTTGCAGTAACTGTACGATGAAAAACTTCAAAAGTTACCTACCGATTTCACAATCACTGCCACGATAACCCGGGTAGCAAATGCATTTATGGATTCTGTCTCTGAATGAAATCGGTGAACATTTCCCATGGCTGGAACAAGTTTGTCCGGTACAAGGATTCTTAGAGAATAAACATCGTTAAGGTCATAAATGCACTGTTTTTGTGCCAATTATGTTTCAAGCCGGTCTTCAGAGTATCAACCTTGAACTTTCCAGAGGTGATTGAGCCAGAACTTTTCCTCTCAACACCAATAAATTATGTAGAAAAGTGATGATGGGTATCAGCAAACCCATCAGTTACTACTTTCAACAACGAATTCGATAAGATTCGAACTTGTAACCCGTTTTCTTTTATTCCCGAGAAATACCTAGCTACCAAATAGAGTATGATGCCAATTCATTGGTCGGGGAAGAAAGGAGTCAATTTATATGAGTCACGAACTTTTTGCAAGCTATCCTCAACTCAACTGTTTTGATTACTTCACTATTGTTTTTCTATTTTTTGATCCTTGCTCCGGCATTTCTCCGAGCTACACAGGGTACCAAAGGATAACTTTTTAACCGGGCAATTAAATACGGTTCGTTAAGGAACTTTAGACAAAGAAAATATATTTTGTGTACTTAGAGAGGTAAATTATGAAAGAAAGGAAAGTGATTTGCCAAAGACCCTTACGGCAATGTATAACTAGATACAGACTTTTTATTCCGCGAGAACACAAAACCTATTTAAGAAAACTGTTTCCACTTTTATACGCCTCCTCATTCTGGAATTAAACCTTTTAAATTAAATCTCATGAATAGGTGCCTTTGTTGACATTAAAATTTTCTTTTTCAAGTGTTTCCATCCTCGTAAACTTTGCCTGTTTGCAGCGAAAAACTGATGTTTTTGTTTTATTTTATCATCATTAGGAATAAAAACTTTAGGACTCCCGCCTCGCGAGTTCAAATTTTGATAAATTCCTAAATGAAATTTCAGCCTTTTCGTATTATGATTTCATTATTATGAAAAACAGTAGGGCGCCGTTTGGTCGAGAAATTACTTGCTTTCCTAATTCATGAACGCTCTAATTCTGGATATTTCTTGTTAGCGGAATCCATCTACACTTAGAGGACGTCAAAGATTATCGTTAACGAATAACTATCAGAGGCACCTTTGCATATTTCCCTGTGAAGCATAATACACTTTATTCGGCTTTTTCATTTTCCTTCTTTTCTCCTTTAATTTTTGACGGGTGGATCATTTGACAAAGAGTTTTTTGAACATTCCACCAGAGGAACGAAAGAACTGTTTTGAATTTGGAAGGTTAATCGTAATGCGACTCAAACTAAAATTAAGTTTTTAATCCTCTACTGCTTACTATAGACCGACACGTTAGCCTACACCAATGTTACTAGTTTTCTACCTTCAACATGAGGTGATGCGAATGGTTATCAGCAATGAGCTTTTCAGTGTTATTGTAGAAATGGGACGATAGAAGCTCACACCAGAGTTTTCCTGTACTATCAGCAAAACCAGCCACGTTGAATGAAATGCAGAAGTTGTTCTCAAGGCAATCGAAGCCACAGTCGAGGATGTCATCCACAAACGTCCTCTTTATGTGGGGAACATCAAGACGACAAAATGGAAGAGGCTCAAACGAGGCTGTTATATACTTAGCAACGAGTCGTTGACAATTCAAAATGCACAGAATTAACACAATGATGGCACAGAATTTCTTCTCTTTTGTAAATTTATGCCAAACAATTTTTTAACGCCAGATAGAAGCCTGATGGTCTCCGAAAGACAAGACAAATGGAAATCATAGATAAATTGTAGTTATAACAATATAAATAATCGATGAGAAATCAAACACAATGTAAAATAAACAACGATATTTAACATATGTCCCTTTCTAACATTTAAGGTCCCAAATGTTACATGAAAATCACCAACCACTTTCATTCTACCTCCACGAACCAATGTTACGAGCACTCTGTGATAAAAGTTTTTAGATCGGAAGGACAGAAAGAAGCGGATTAGGTGATCGTTTTTGTGCGAAGAGACATAAAAAAAAAAATGACAAAGACGCCTCCAAACCTTTCTCTAAACAGCTTAACATTCCTGATCAATTATTCAAAAACAAGTCTGTCAGCGGGATTTTTTCTCCACCAGGGCAATACTGAGAGTATGCTATTTTACTCCAACGCTAAGAAAACGCTCTGAAAGTCAGCTTCTTAAACATCGTCTCGGTGTTCAAAATATATTTATCAACTTATAATTGATAATCAACCAATTGATTCTTTTGTCCACGACTCAGAGAAAGAGCCTTTTTATATTCGAATAGACCTCATGATTATCGCAAGTTAGCTTTTGTCACATACATAAGTTTTAATATACCCGTAAGTTTTAAATATACCCATATGGAATCATCACGTGGAGTAAAGACAATTAACAAAAGGATGTAGTAAAAATGAGTTCCAGTTTTTGGAAGGTAACAATTCAAAAAATCAAAACAGAAATCTTGACGTCTTGATGTGACTAAAAACAAATTAAGCAAGTAATTCAGAAACGTGAAATTGAAATTCTTCTTCTAAATTCTTGGACCTGCTGCAAAGGTTTTGTTTTAAGATTTTGTTACAAATGTGGTTTCTCCTGACCGAGAGAGTTATCTCAATTTCAAAACCTATGTAGTCCACAAAAAAAAAATTTTTTTTAAAAATTTTAAAAAAATGTTTCTTTGCGCAAACTTGGGGCTAGATGGTTTTAGAAAACCTCTATTGCAATATAAAGGCAATTTTTCCTTTCTTTTAAGAATTTTGAGAAAGCTAGGAAGGAAGAGCTGAGTTTTCTTACTTTTCGTGCAAAATAGTCGATTTGTTGACATGTTTTAAAATTTATTCACGAGGTGTTATTTACGTAGAAGCTATATTTAATTAATCGCAGGCGACCCGAGAAAAAGCAAACGATTAATTCGTAAAAGCGTCACGCGTTGTGTGACTCCATGTTAAGTTACGATAGGAACCGTTGAGAATTTAAACACATTATAAGGAATAGTATGGGGAACGAAATAAGGTCGATTTTCAACGATACATATTCGAAATATGAACATTCCACACGCAAAATCGATAGAAGACTGTCAAATTAACATAAACATTACAAAACGTTAAGTTGATAAGCTGATGTTTGTTTCAAACTTATTGCAATGGAGATGTTGAGAAAGACGTTATGCTTAGCAAATCTTTTCGGAAAGTCATTTTAAATTTTTTCAAGGTGATTTAGTATATTTCGGATATATTTTGTAAAAATATGACTAATTTTGAACCAACTTTGAAACTTATTAAATTTAAAATCAACATTCTGTCTGGTTTAACAAGTGTAGAGTGGTTTCAATGCAGTGTTTCTTTATTCAGTGAATTCGATTTTCAATACCGTACTCGGCAAAGCCTCGTGCGGTATTGAAATTACTCGTTCATTGTTAATGAACACGTGCAGATTACTCCCCATAATTCACTCACTGGGTGCCTTAAACTGTAAATAATAAACTTTATTTATACACGAGAACTTTGGCGAACTGGGAAAGTTCGTTACAAAAATGAACGTGTACCCGATCGTATTAATATCGTATTAACATCACTAATAGTATTAGTATTTTTTTTTTCCGTTTCTCTGAAAGTTCAGGCATCTCTTAGACAATAGCAAAGTAGTTGCTCCTTGGTTATGGAATCAATTGCCTCTTGAACTCTGGAGTGTTACCTCTGTTTACCAGTCCAAGATGCAGTTGAAGACACTTATTTAAATTGACTTATGATGTCTAGTTTTTAGTAGTGTAGTTTAGTTAATTTCATTATAATATTAGCTTTTGTATTTTATAATTTACCCTTTGTTGTACAGCGCTTTGAGCAATTAGTGAACACAGCGTCTAAAAAGTGTTTTTGTCATAATTATCATTATCATCCTTATAATTATTATTATAGTTATTGATATTATTGGGTCGTCAGCATGATTTGGATCGCCTAACCAATTAGATCTTCTTTGGCTTTTGCAAAATCCTTTTAACAGTCGAAAAAATATTTCTCGCCTTTAAGGGCAGTTACCGTCGAATCTTTGATGTGATTTTTTTAGATAGTGAAAATGATGCGTTTGTAGAAACGCAGGAGGATTAAATGTTGTAGGAAGAAAGCTTATTTACTGCAATTCATTCATTTCATATCTCACTTTCTATTCTCATTTTTACTAATCTGCCCTCTTTGAACGACGTGTTCGATTCACAAGCCTTTTGCTTAGAAATTTCTTTTGGCAGCATTGTTGGGGTTCTTTGGTAGCTGATGGTTTTCCCTCGTCAAACTTCTTCTCTTTGCACTTTTCAGCGGCCTCCTTCGCTTTTTTAAGCAGTTTTGCATATTCAATAGCTTCTTGATCAAAGACTCTTTTTCCGACAGTGGTACATGTCAGGTTTCTTCAACAGTTCGATATTTCACCTCCTTCAAACGTTTCTTTATGAAATTTTCAGTAAACTGTTTCACTCCCTTGGCTACCTCGGCATCTGCATGATCTCCTAGGTCGATCTCTTGATCTCCTCCTCGACGATCATAATGTCGTAAACTAAACATCCTGCAGTATAAATTTCTTGTGCTCTTTTCTCGAGGTCCATTACTTTGACTCCTGAATCCCATTGTCTATAACATATTTGCAACAGGATCGAACGGGATTTCTTGGTCAAACATCTCCGTGCCTATAGAAAATTTTGCTTGTCCTTCCGCTTGTTCCTCACTGCAGTAGGGGGGAGGGGGGTGATTTCAAACCCCCTTGCTTCTCGTCACGTTGCGATGTTTTGAAAGGTTTCTCTCTTGAGCAAATAGCCTGCCACGTTGTCTACAAGATGATGTTAATATTACGGGATACATATGCAAATGACGTTGCTGGAGGTTACTAACGCCATTCGACATGGATGATTTTTAAAATAAATCACTTTTTTCACCATAATTTTTGGCTTGTCGGAAGAATAGTAGCTATCGAACTTGACAGGAAATTAAGTCCCCAACCCGGTAAGTGAGAGGTTTTCAAAATAAGAATCAGTGTAATCCGTGATCCACTTCATCGATTGAACCGTGCGATAAAATTGTTCAGCAGAACCACGACTTCCGATCGAGACAAAGCTAGAGGCCACCACTAAATCACCACCACCACTGTATCAACTCAACAGTCTGATCCAGGTTATTCAAAAGATAACAAGTGTTCATTAATACTGTTTAATAAACAGCTACTTAGTCCTTGATTCGCTTACGTGCCATTGATCATTTTTTGTCCCTTCATATTCTCTATTGAAAGCTATTATTCTGTGCACATCAGAAATTGAAACATCGCTTTACAAAGTTTTAATAAGTGGGAACACTAAGCAGAAAGAGGCTTTTCTGTTTTTTTGTCTTATTTATGACCATCAGCATGTCCTAATTTTGTTTTGGCGATTAACCTCTCCCCCTCTTTTTTGCAAACGCAACTAAAACGAGTGAAACGTAACTGCAAGGCATTCACTATGAGAAAAGAAGAAAGAAACTATTAGCGTTAAAAGTTTGGTTCGCCGCAAGTAGCTATCAAACCAGCCATTAATGCAAAAATTGATTCCGCCTCAAGGGATCCATTTGTTTACAACTGATTCCTTCCAGGGAACCATTTCTTTACAATTGATTCCCTCAAGCCAATCATTAATTCACAACTGATTCCTTCAGTGTTTTCATTTGGAGTACGGATGGAAAAGAACTTATTGATTTGGCATTTTACGGTTCATTGCAAATGATTCTATCAAAATCCCTCTGACACACGAAAAGCCCATTGTCCTCATTGTATAACAAGCTGTATCGTGCCCTCGCCTGCTATTTTTCTGTACTTGCTGTGCCCACTTTTCGAGTCTTTCAGTCCAAGTCCAAGCTTGCTCATCAAAAAACATATGTCTGTTCAAAGTATTACTAATTAATTGACGGAGCCCATCCATTTTTTCATCAAGATCGTCAGGTATTTTTTTTCTTTCTCTGAGTGAAAGTTCTCGGAAAAGTCTGGCAATTTCATTCCAAGTCAGAAATTGAGAAATTTAAGGGAAAAGAAAAAATTCTCTATCGATTCAAGTACTTTCGAAGGTTTTAAAGGCACAAAATGTTAAAACACTGAATTGAGTTTCAATGGATAAAAAAATTGATTTAATTTTAGTGGTAGCTCATCCACATACTCAGCTCTTTATCGATAAAATTCCGAAACCGGCTGGCGAATAACATTCATATACGACTCTGCTGTAACGTTGATCACTTGATAATAAAAGTGGGCGATTTTGGCTTGGCACGGACGAAAAGGATGATGCTTTAGATAAAGATTCACAAGATAACATCCTTAGGAACACTTGTAAGCCTCCGTTATTGCAAGGTTTGGGTTTCTCAGCTGATTTATTAAGCAGAGATCACAAGGTGTTCGTAGGTGGATGAAAAATGTAATCATTCGAAAAAGCAATGATAAAAAGGTTATCAAATGTCAATCATAGAAATTTTTGTCATCAATTTCTCATCGGTCCATACCTCTTGAAAATTATAAACATGCGCCTTACCCCGTGCACAAAGTTCCTGACACAAAAACAAGGACGAACGGATACTTTCAGCCTAATTACATAACAACAGCGACTGACTTAATTTTAACTTTATCAAAACACTCTTTGCTCCACCGAAGAGGCAATTTAAGAGTCCTGGACAGCCTTTAAGACGACATTTAATGGAGCTGTGGTTTTGGGTTTTCAGCTGGTTTCTTTACATTCTCACGATAGTTGAAAATGGATTTGTCATTTTCCTCGTCTGCAGAAAACTTCAGCTTCGCACCGAAACCAACACATTCATTGTGTCCTTAGCAGTGGCTGATTTTGCTTTGGGAGTGATTGCTGTTCCTTTGCGTTTTCTCTGTAACATGATAAACGAGTGTATCTCCAATAAAAATGCAAGCTTATCCGTGATGTATGTGTGGGTGTTCATACTTTACGCTTCTAGAACAAACTCGTCTAGCTTAGTTCTGGAACGCTATATCGCCGTCGTGAAACCGTTCAAATATTTGACTTTTACGCTTATTTCCATCTGTTATTCGAAGTAATCTTGTGTGTGATTTTTATCTTTTGCGTTGCTGTTTATAAGAACTCTAAAAATTGCATTTTACCTAAGCAAATCTAGTTAAATAAACGGTTCGCTTAAGTTAAAGCTCAGAATACCTCAGCAGTAAAATGACTAGCTTTGGTAACGTGTATGTTTCTATCCTGTTACGGACTATTCAGGCATTGTAGTTTATTAACTATAAATGGTCGTCAATGTGAGGATTTTCATCACAAAGTTCCTCTACAAGTTATTAACTCTGGCATAAACCCTATAGCTTATGCCCTCTTCAAAAGGGACATAGAGCAAGAATGTAAAAGGCTCTTTTTCAAAAGGCGTCTCTGATTATTCCTCAAAGCAGTTCTTAGGCAAGAAAAACTTCAGTTGATGAATTTAGTTATCACTTTCCCTTAGATCTCAACGATGTTCAGCTGTGGATCCATCCGGAATGTACTGGCTCTTATCTTCGTGGATTTCTAACGGTGTAATATTGTAGCTTCGATATTAAATTTATTTCTAAGATTTAAGACCTTGTAATGAATATAACGAAGCATTCCATTGCTGGAGCAGAATTTTTTTTCTTTAAGCATTGAAGCTGATTTGTATTTCGATATAGGAAAGATCTGATTCTTAAAACTACGAGCTTGCTTTACATGCGATAATAAAACTGTAAACACATCTAATATTCCTTCACTTTTGATTAGCCTCTACAAGTCTCTATCAGATCGCCTTATCCACTGACTGGTCCTCCCTGTGTTTTAGAAAATCGTGTTTTTGTTGACATATTACGTCAGACAAAACTTTGAAACGGCATTTAACTTATATACAAAACAACTTCTCCATGAGTCGGTTTTTTTTTTTTTTTATTTTTTTGGAAGGGGTTGGAGTTGTCTTTCATAGTAAATTCGAAAATAAAAGCTCTCCTTTGGGCAATTTTTGAATGGTGCCGTTAATGACAATGCTATAACATTTCCAAGCTTTTCCATTCCTTAGAAACTTTTTAGGGAAATGCTTAACCAACTGTGAATTATTTGGCTAGTACATAAGTCATACAAATCATTGGAACTATGACAATGAAATCGTGAAAGGCGAGTTCTTTCGGGAAATTTGACGCCGTTAAAGTTTCTTGATAAGTGTTCGTGACAGGTTTTTTGGCTTTGTTAGTGCGTTGGGCAAACAATTATTCCACGAAAGGTAACGAACTTGATGACAACGTGAGATATAATTGCTCCAGTTCAAACAGAAAGATGGGTAAAACTTTACTTTACGATTCACACCTGCTGTTTTAACTTTACCGACGAAATCCTTCGCAGTTAGGAGGTTATTTTTGAAAATTCTCTGGTGGTAGTTTATTCGATACTAGTCCTAGACAATGAAGGAACGTCGGCATAAAACAGAATTTTAGCTTTTAACCTTGTTGTATTTTGATCAATAATTTATTTCCGTGAGCCTAAAAAATAACTGCCATTCAATATACATGACCACCTGTATTTGCTCCTATTTAACTGCCCTACTTCTACTATTACTAAAATGAAAAAGAAACCTCACACACTTATTTTTTTAAGTTTTCTTGGCATGTCTTCGTGACAGGTTTTAATTTCCGCTAGTCCGTTTAGCAAAGACATTTTCGATGAAAATGGCAGCAATGTTTTTTTAAGGGAAAGATGGTAATACAGAAAAACGTTTACCAGACGAAAATATGAAATACATTCGAAAACCTCCGTCATTGCAAGGTTTTCGGTTTCTCGGTTGGTTCTTGGAGTAGACATCGTAGGGTTTAGTTGGTCGATTTAAAATGTAATCATTGGAAAAATCGGTAATTAAAAAGATGTCAAATTTCATAATTTACTCGCTCATCGTAGAAACTCTGTGGCTGTAGCATCGGAGAGCGAAATCCAAAGGTCTGAGTTCGATTCATCGTATGGGGACTCAGAATTTCTTTTTTCTCTCACGCTCGTGACAAGACAAAAAACATCTTTCTCCATGAAATTATTGCCATTTTTCATCAAATCACGTCTTATTTGCACTATTGTGCAACACGAATATTCTCAAAATAGGACTCTGCTGTCACGCGTCATAACGCAATTTTCATTTGTTTGTATAAATGAAAAGGATAGAACACATGAGATGATGAAGTAAAAATTTCCTGTTTTGTCGTCAATCTCTGATTGGTCCATACTTCTTGCGAACCATTTAACAGGCACAGTGTCTGTCAAAAATGTTAAAGAGTGATGGATGCTTGCAGCCTAATATGCTACTTAATTGAAGAAAGTCTATTGACCTAATTAGCTTTAAGGAGGACAAATTTCCATTCTCAAAACTCTCTCCGCCCGACTGAAGGAAGCAGTTGAAAAGTCCAAGACAGCCATCAAGACGAAACTTAATGGAAACGTGGTTTTGGGTTCTCGCTTGGTTCCTTTCCATCCTCACAATGGCTGGAAATGGATTTGTCATCCTCCTCGTCTACAACAAACGTCAGCTTCGTACCAAGACCAACACATTGATTGTGTCTTTAGCAGTGGCCGATTTTTGTGTTGGGATGATAGCTCTCCCTTCAC